CCTAGAATGAGTATAGGGCTCCAATATATATGTATATATATGTATGTTTGAAAAAATCATAATTTATATTTTTTTCTTCTTTCAGCTAACGCTTCTGTTCTGCTTTCTTTTTAGCCTTTTTTTCCTCCTCCTTTCTTACAAAAGTTTATAAATATAATGAAAATAATACCCAATGTTAGAATTATGTTTAATTTTTTTTACATTCTGTTTAATTATATTTGCTTTCTTCACTAATTCCTGGCACTGAATTTGTAAATCTTCCCGAACGTTCTGAAAAACTGTTTAACAGACCTCCTTAAAAGTTTATACACCATTTTTTTATCACACAAAAGTTTACTCTATAACATTTAGGTTGATAAATATGAGAAATTAATGTGGAATTATCATTCTACATTAATTCTACTTTAAGTACTATGAGAACAATGGAGTCCTCTCTTTTAATGGCGACTGTGAAACAGTTCATAATTATTTTTTCGTTTTAAGTAACTAACATATTATCTTAGGCTTACCTTTTGAAACTGAATATTTTTCTTAATTTGGTAGTATAACTTTCATTGTCAATCTATTGAACGAAAAGATAATGAAAATAACTTCAAAATTTTTTAAGTATTAAAATATATCCGCGATACCTTTGACCGACCAGTTACTTTAACTTAATAAAATGTAAAGAAAGTTTTTGACATAAAAGGTTTTTTTATGAAGTTGCAATCAGATGTAGTACAGTACGGTATAACATCATGAAAGCAATGAAACTCTGGCAAATTCAGTACAGTATTTCGTAGTATACTAATATAGTTAACATATATTAAATTTAGGCACACAACTTGGTTGTACGTCAGATATCTTCGACTCAATGAATGTGCTATAGTCGATTTAATTAAAAATGGCCCTGAAACAACAACAAATTAGGTAGTAATTTAAATCAGTTTCACAGAGAATTTTAGTGTTGTCACAAAATCATCCGAATTTAATTTGTTTAAAATAATAATATTAATGATTAATAAATAATGATGATAATTATTCATTAAATAAATAATGATGAAAAATAGTTTCGAAAATAAGTTTGACATAAGTTTCACTGTATTGAAACGAATAAAATAGTGTAATAAAAATGAATAAAAAATAGATCAGATTGTATAATTATTTCTAAATCACATTTCAAAAAGTGGTTGGTTGGTTGCAGTAACAGGCCAATAGATAACTTCCACGTACCTCAATTAGCGATTTTTTGTCGTTTTGCTATCAAATTCCTCGCAAGGACCCTATAATAGAAGAGTAGACACTAAATCCATCTCGCAAATAATTTAATAGGTGTTTCATCTTCACCGATGAGCAGTCTGATAAACTATCGAAGAAGTATTTTCCTAAGAATCAATATCTTCTGGACGCTTAAGCCGGGCATTCACAGAGAAAATGAATGGTTTCTTTTTCCTGCGGGTTTACACAACTTCTACAGACAGGTTTATGGGGAATGCGCAATTTCTATGAGTGAGTTCCTACACACCAATGACCAGTAAGAACTGCGGTAAGTCTTGCAGTGTTCAAGCGGTCTCTTTTGATGAGTCAAAAAGTGAACTATTTGAAGTTGTAAAAAATTTTTTTTTAAAACTTTCCTAACTTCAATTTTTAACTAAAATCTTTGTAGAATATATACAAATAATTTTTTTTTAGAAAATTTAATATGTGCATTGTCTGTATGTAATTAAAATAATTAAATTTTTTATATACTACTACTGTTTTGAGTTTGTGAATTAATTTTGATTTAACTTTTTATTATTAATAATTAAAATTTCTATTGTTCGCATACTTAAATAATTAAATTAGTACCGCTAACCTGCAGCCAAGAGCAAATGTATTTGGAGCACATCTATATGCGCTGCTAACTTTTCTACGGAAAAGTGAAATATAATGAAATATATTTCCTTTTAACTCATTTTTTCCTAAGTTAACTGAATTTTCAGTTTTTAATTATCGCTAAATGGAAAACCCTTTTAAACCATTAAAAACACATTTTAGGTCCTTTTGTCTTTGAAATTTAATTTATATGTTGTTTATTGCCTTATTTCAGTAAAGTGAATGTAAAACATCCTTTTTCTGAGATTCGTGAAAATTTCATTAAAATTCAATGAGCCACCAAGGTTATGTTAAGTTCTTTCAATACATAAGAAATATATTTTATAAAATTTTGTTTTTTAATTTATTAATTTCTTTTCAATTATGAATAAATGATACTATAGACAGAATTATTGGTCATTGACATGACCTCACCAATAGTTCATATCGAAAAATACTGAACATTTTATTATTATGGAGTTTGGTTATTCAAAACACTTGAGGCCATGGTAGTTATTTTTTCGCATAATAATGTTTTTATTGAAGTACTTGACTCTCACCAATGAGTAACGAATAACCGTTAGTTTTGAGTATTAAGGAGTATTATCCGCAAGTAAAAAACAGTCGTGAATCTCGAGTATGATCACAGGTTGTAGGCAG